GTGGGTCCCGGGAGAAGGGCTGCAGCTTGCCAAATACTTCTTTCTCTGGGACGGCGGCGGCGGCAGCGGCGCCGCGCACCGGACTCGGCGGTTCCGCCATTTTGCGCTCCTGTTGTATTTACTCTCCTCGGCTCCCAAGCGCGGGGCAGGGGGCGGGCCCTCCGTCAGGGGCGGGGAAGGGGCGGAGTGGCCGGGGCACCGGCCCGGGCTGCCCATTGGGTAGGCCACGCTGAGGGAGCCACGGAGGAGCCAATCAAGCGCGCCAACGCAAGGTGAAGGGTGGGACCGCCAAGTGGACCGCTCTGGAGGTCAGAGCACTGCGGGGCGCGGCTAGTGGCGGAGCCGGTAGCGCTGAGAAGGCTCTTCCCGCTGTGGCCAGCGGGAGCGCGGGTGTCCTGTGACTCAGTGTCCTTGTTGACAGCTCGCGGGCACCCCAAAATCTGCCCCGGCCAAGATGGCGCGTGGAAGACTGGGTCTCACAGGGACCACTCTCTCTTTGTTTCTCCTTGGGATGCCCTGGGTCCCTCGCTGCCTCTACGCGTGCGGAAAGCCGAACTCTGAGGAGGAAAGTTTCCCGGGCATGAAGTCCTCGTTTTGTGGGAGTCGGTAGCCGATGGATGAGACGGACTCTCAGTCCCTTGGCGCGGTGAGAGGATGGTACTCGTGCTGAGATCCTGACCGCCAGAGCTTGGAGGGAGATGACTTCCTGCAAACCCAGAACTTTTAAATTAACTTCCGACCCTGAAGGTAAGGACTCATTCTAGACTTGGAGACTTTTTTAACTGTTGTGATTGGACCCTTCAAGGTTTTGATGATATGACCATTATTATACCTTAGATTCGCCAAGAAAAAAAATCGATCGTGGTATTTCATAGATGATGGAGAAGCAAGAATTTTTTCCCCTAAAGTGTCTGTTGTAGCGTTTAGTTCTCCGAGCGTTCGGTGTTTAGTAGGCGTGCGCTTTGATTTTTATCTTACAAGATAAGGAGTTTGTGTAAGACGGATTTTTAGCTTAGAAGATAAGACTTTGGTGAGATGGCTTACCATACAGTTGGAACGATGGCAGAGAGTATGATTTTAATTTAACCGTTAGATCTTGCAAGAGACCAGAAGGCCAACGGAAAGGATGTAAGGGATAAAAGTAGTCAAGGCAGAAGATGACCAGATGAGAAGATAGTTTAAGGAGTCCTGAGAGGAGAGCTAACTTGCCTGTGACTTTGTGGAAATAGTTCAAAGCAGTCTTGGGACTCTCCATTCTTGGGACTTCAGGAAGTTGGAGTTCTGTATTTTGTTTCCCTTTTGTTTCTTAGAGTGCCTCAAATTTCTACAAGTAGGAGAATTATTTCCTGTAACACACATCAGTGAAAGGGAGGGAAAGCCTCAGGCTTGGGTTTGACTGGCATCAGATGTCCTCTTGAAAAGCATCATGGGCCTGGGGGTGGGGGCGGTGGAGAGGATAGGACTGGAAGCTGCTCCTCACTAGGGCTGAGTAAATGTGATTACATGATCACTAAATTCTCTTCCACACTCAGAGCTTCTCCCATGTTCAAGAAGCTTTAAAAAAATCACACACTGAAACCATCACATTGACAACACTCGCATAATTGTTGACCCTCCTGATCTAGAAAAGCGTCCCTTATACATTAATGTGTGTAATGCCTGGAAATCTGCCACACTCCCACCTTCATCTCCCACATGCAAGTCTGGGAAACCTGACTTCTAAAGGACCCAGCTAAAGTGCATTCTGATCTGCATATATTTGTTACTGCCCACACTGTATGATACTGGAATGTTCTCTTAATCAGGCCTAGCCCTGAAATTTGCAAAGCCTGGGCAAGAGCATGGCTTTGGAGGCCCACATACCATCTGTCTAAATACTTAACACTTGTAAGATAACAAGCTATTATATAAAAATCTATTCTGGCTTGACAAAGCCACTTTCATAATGAAAGGAAGGCCATGACTAAGTTTAGAATTCTCAGAGTCCCTAGACTTCTATTTATTTCTTGCCCACGCTCCACCACACTGCCCCAGTCCACCCCAATCCCGACCCCATGCTCCTGACTGCACATCTCCCAGTCCCTGCACACAGTGACCATGTCAGTCAGCCTCAGATCCAGCTGCTCCAAGAGAGGCATGGCTGCAGGCACACATGAGCACATCCTGTCATGGACTAACAGCTGGGAGGCTGAGGAGACAGGCCCCCCCCAGACCCAGGGCTCATGGCAGTACTGTCCCTTATTTGCTTGATTATTTCCTCTGTATTTTGTCTTCCGTGTGATCGGCCATTCCCTTTCACCCAGATTGTTCCTAACAGCATTTAACTAGGAGAGAATTTCAACCACTATCACCAATTCCTTTTGTCACTTTACCAGCACTCAAATCATCCACTCCTCTCCTTGTCTGCCTTTGGCACTCTATTCCAAGTACCACCCCTTCTCACCTATAGGAGGACACTAGCCTTTTTTCTAGTCTCAGTTCTCTGAGCTGCAGAGCAGCCCTCCAGTTCTGCGTCACGGGATTTCAGGTTATTATCAAGCTTTTAGTACTCTGCAAAAAGCCCCTCCTCCTGTGAGATCTTTGTGGTGTGCTGTCCTTCGCAGGCTTCCTGGTCATTTTACTATACTTCGTGAGGACTTTGATACTTGGCTCGTGTTCCTGTTCTTCCCCCTCTACATCGCAGCCATCCTTTTAGCAGAGTTCAGGGCCCATGCTGATGACTACGTTCTCTCTCGGTGTTTCTTCTTGGAACTGCTTTTCCAGTTTGTTTTAGGCACAATGCCAGTAGAACCTCCTTTGTTGCTTTTGACACCAACCACTCTTCTACCTGTGAAATCCTAAACGGCAGTGTTCTGATGTTCTCTCTTCTTTACTCCTTGACACCAGGCCCTTACCCTTTGACCTCAGGACACTCACATCGTTTTTTTCACCTAATTATAATCATCAAATAAAATACCAGACACAAGTTAAATTGGAATCCAGAAAAAATTATAAATTTTTAGGATAAGTATGCTCTAAACAATATTTGGAATGTGTTTATACTTTTTTTTATGGGAATACAGAGTTACAGAGAGAAAGGGAGAGACAGAGAGACATGTTCCATCCCCTGGCTCACACCCAAATAGCCACAACTGCTGGGGCTGTGCCAGGCCAAAACCAGGAGCCAGGAGGTTCCTCCAGTTCTCCCACATGGGTGCAGGGGCCCAAGCACCTGGTTCATCTTCTGCCGCTTTCCCAGGCACATTAGCAGGGAGCTGGATTGGAAGTGGAGCAGCTGGAACTCGAACTGGCACCCATATGGGATGCCAGTCCCACAGGTGGCAGCTTTACCTGCTACACCATAGCACCAGCCCTAAAATGTTCTTGGTTATCTGAAGTCCAAATTTCACTTGGTGTTCTTTTTCCCTCTACTGACTCTTAACAGTCCTACAGTAATCTTCCCACGTAGGCTTCCTTCCTGCTCAACTTAGAACCTACAATCATGTTGTTTGTCCTGAACATTTGCCAGCACTTAATTCCTCACACTCTAACTCTCTTCATCTCTGTCAAAGCTGCCAGCCTCTAACCTCAGATCATTCCACCTACCTGCTTTTCTCTATCCCAGCTGCTGAGCATTGCGCCCCCTCTTCTGTGTTAGTGTTGGGGGTTCACAGGTTAGTGTGGGGGTTCATGCTGTCTTCTTACATTGCATAAATGGGGAGAATCCCCAAGTCTTTCTCTCCAGCCTCCACCTGACTCCAGACTCATATCCAGTGTCCAGTGGGTGCTACCACCTATAAAACCAGACACCTCACTTTGTGCCAGGCATTCTCAATCTACCACCTGTCAGTAACTCGTGTTCCTTACCCACTTGGTCATTCGAGCTCCAAACCTAGGGGGCCTCCTTGACTCCTGTTCTCCCTTCACCCTCCACAGTCAGTCAGTCACAATCTCTAGTTTCTCCTCTCTTCCCACTGCTGCTTCCTATTTCCAGGCAGCACATGGGCCTAGATTTTGTCAATGATTTCCTTCTTAACTAGTCTTCCTAGCTGTTAAACTATCCTCCCTGCTGCTGCCAAAATTATATTTGTAAAATATAAGCCTCGTTATGTTTCATTCCCTTCAGTAATCCCTTATTAAATAAGAATAAAAGTCACACTTTTTAGTTTAGCATACAAGCCATTCATTTTTGTTTATTTATTTTCACTTTACTTGAAAATCATAGAGCAAGAGAGAGAGAGAGAGATTTTGCTTCCTCTGGTGCAGACTCTGGGGGGCAGTTTCCTAGGCAACAGTTGGTGATGGACCAGGACAAAGCCAGGCACCCAGAGCCTAATCCAAGTCTCCTGCATGGGTTACAGGGACTCGAGTACTTGAACCATCACCTGCAGTCTCCCAGGATGTGCACTGGCAGGAAGCTGGGTGGGCAGCAAAGCCTGTACTGAAACCAGGTGGTCTGATGTGAGATGCAGATGTCCCAAGCAGCATCGTAACTGCTGAACCAAACGCCCACTCCAGGCCATTCTTGATATAACCCCAGAACTCCTTTCTCTCTCTCTCCTCAGCTTCCTTCTGTTTCTTCTGTCTGAACTATGTGTGCATTCTTTTTACTATTTCAGAGGCAGAGAGAGAGAGAGAGACTGCTCTTAGCCACCTCATTCATTCCCCAGATGCCCACAACAGGCAGGGCTGGCGTTGGAGCTAGGAGGAAGAATGCAATCTAGGTCTCCCATGTGAGCGGGAGAAACCCAATTACTTGAGACATCACTGCTACCTCCCAGAGTCTGCATTAAGCAGGAAGCTGGGTCAGGAGCTAGGGGCAAAAATCAGACTCAGATATTCTCATGTGGGATGTAGGTGTCTTAACTCTTAGGCCAAATGTGCACTTCACACGTATCTTCTGTTTCCTCTACGGGGGATACCTTGGCAAAGTTCTTACCCTTCAAGACGTGGCTCATTCATCTCCCTAGTAACGTGTTGCTCTGACCTGCCAAATCAGAGTTGGTCCTTTGCACCATTCTGCCTGGGATCATTTAACTATTGTCCTCTGTTTGTAGCCTTCTAGCTCTTCAAACAGGGATGATATGTTACTTATATTCATATGCACAGTATCTGGGACATGGTCAGAGCTCAATAAGTATATTGAAAAGAATTATATAAAGTACATAATAAAATATATACAGAAACATAAAGGCTTGTGATGTTTACAATAAAAAATTTACAAACTTAATTCCCCGTTTTCCAGTTACAAAACAAAAAATTACAAACGTAAATGCCAAACGTTTTTGGTGTCTTAGTGCATTTTGTGCTATTATAACAGAATACCAGGGGCCAGCACTGTGGCTTAGTGGGTAAAGCTGCTGCCTGCAGTGCCGGCATCCCAATGGGTGCCAGTTAGAGTCCTGGCTGCTCCACTTCCAATCCAGCTCTCTGCTATGGCCTGGAAAAGTAGTAGAAGATGGTCCCAGTCCTTGGGCCCCTGCATTCGTGTGGGAGACCCAGAAGAAGTTCCTGGCTCCTGGCTTCGGATTGACTCAGCTCCGGACGTTACAGCCATTTGGGTAGTGAATCAGCGGAGGGAAGATTCTCTCTCTCTCCCTCCCCTCCCCCCATGCCTCTCCTCTCTCTGTGTAACTCTTTCAAATAAAACATACTTTTAAAAACATAAATTTATTTTCTCACAGTTCTTTTTTTCCCTTTTTTTATTTAGTAAATATAAATTTCCAAAAGTACAGTTAATGGATTACAATGGCTTCCCTCCCCCATAA